TTCCATGAACACTCAATGTCCGGCCTTCATGTATTGTAAGATTATCGACGGCTACCGGACTGTTGTACGTGGGAATGTGCACCACAATCACGAGTGCAATTCCCTGAGGTACCAAGGTAATTCATGGGTGCGCAGGTTAACGGAGGCCCAGCTTGAAAACGTGCGACCGTTGCTAATATCTGGTACTGCTTCATTCCACATAAAGAATTATGCTTACCATTCTTGTGGGAAACTACTGAATGATCAAGATATCTATAATATGCGGTACAAAGTGTTCTCATAGGCGAACATTCCTGGTAAGCCATTTGCCAATTTATAATGTAAACTGTCTGAGGAACAATGCAGTTCACTTTATAGCCAATTTTATCAAGAACTTCACGGTAGACTACCACCAACGCCGTTGAACTTACAGGCAGAACCGCAGTTGTACACTGGAACAAGAACCTCGACTAACTTTACAATGCCGTCGATGCACCGAGGAAATGTTGATTTGGATGAAACGTTAAGTAACGACGATGATGACCTAGTTTCTATAAACTTAGAAGAGTTAACAGAACGGGACATCCAAAATAAAGAAGATGAAGAGAACCGTTTGTGTGACATCTGTAATCTTGCACAGCCACCCTGTGAAACTGGTGATGAAGTGGGTTTGGTTTTCTGTCCTTGTGAAGCAATGTTTCATAGATTCTGTGCTTATGATCCATCACCGAACGTACGAGCAGTCCACTGTCCGATGTGTGGCGCCATTACCATGATGATGTCACAGGTATTCAGTGTTTGACAACGCTTCTACCAGTAACACCTATTATATTTCGTTCCCGCCCAGAGAAATCAAAAGACAGAGTCGAGGAGATCGGAAGAGTATATTTGGCGATGACCAATATATCGGAATTCTCTGATCTAATCTGGCTAGCGATTGCGGTTGATGTTGAGCACGGCGTTACCACACGTGATCTGATGCGGATGCATGACCGAGCGCCTTCAGCTAGATGAGTCCACTAAAACATATGGTCAGCATCCAATGTCGAAAACTTAGGGCTATTTATTTTGGGGATTTATTTACCGCTTCAACCAACTAATAGTTTGGACGTCCCACCGCGAGAGCGATTAAAGGCCCTTTTTAGGGCCACCCACAAATTGATTTAAATTCATTATTCCTAATATTGTTTTTGTCTATGGCAAAGGTCAAGTGATTAAGCATTTTTTAATGTCAAATGCATTTCGAAATACCTTAGATATTAATAATCGATAAGCGATTATCGTTCATGTATTCGTAAACTTGTTTCTAACGTTTATTAGATATAAAGGTTAAGAAAGCAGACAAGATTTTGTCATTTTATGAACACTTATCTAATAATTTTAGATGTAAAATAATGTGATTACCGTTCATGTCTTAGTAACATATTTGTAAACTATCTATTACTAGTACATTTTAATAGGAATATTTTAAAATAGTGAAAATCGTTATTTTGTCGTTAGGTGAATAAATTTATTAGTGAATATAATAAGATAGTTACAAAGATGAATGTGATTAATGCTCATAGAGAAGTAAACAAAATTGAGAAAAATATCTTCCTTATGAATAAGATACTGACATTATAAAACAAGTTGAAGCCGTCATCATTGAAATTAGTAATCCGATTAAAAGGTCATATAGTAAGTGTTAACAAAAATGAGAATATTATCCGTTTCATGAATACAAAATGCAAGAATTTCATATTCCAGTTTTATATTAATAGTACCTGAAACCAGAACTAAGCGTACGTATGAATTACGTCCGATCGTCAACTAAGCCTTCATTGTTATTCATAACCACTGATTATACCAACGTATTCATTTGCACACCCATATAACTATTAATTACTGGTACAATCACACTATACAGTTATAAGTTCATAATTTCCATATTTTATAAAGGCCAAAAATATGTCATGGCATTAATGAATTTGACAATGTAATGCGTTAACAATGGTGAACGTTTACATCTGTTACGACATATATAAATATATATATATATATATATATATATATATATATATATATATATATACTTACGAATTGTAACATTTGCAAATTAGAAAGGTCATTCAATAAAGGTCTGGATAATTTGGGTGTAAAGTGTTCAGTCACAATAAGTGGGAGAGCATTATCGGAAAATTGAAAATGTAAAAAATTTTGTGTCAATGAAATACATAGTAGGAGAATTGAATCTTGTCAATTGACATAATAATAACAATAATAATAATGATCATAAGCACAATAAATAAGAATAACATTTTAAATGGTCATTGATACAGTTGACCTTATTCATATTTACACGTTGAATGTCGATAGATCTTTGTTGAGTCAGTCAGACGACATAGGCTTGTTCATTGACACTTCATGAAACTGATATTTCAAATGCTTGTCAAAATTGGTTACATTCATAATGTCTAGATATAGTTCAGGTTTCATATTACAGCGGTCAACAATAACCACACTTGACTGATTAAACACACACTAGTTTTTATTACGATCAAAAAAATTAATTTTAAAATACAGAACTACAAATAATTTACAAGTGCAAATAATTAACCCTTTCAATGGACTTTTAAAATTCACCACATTTAAATCTAACGTTGTCTAATTCTCATTAAGCATGAACATTTACAAAATAAACGTTCACTAAATATTAAGTGCTTATTTCGGTTAAATTTATTACTACATTCATATACTGTCAAAGTCAGTTCATTCAATGATGGTCTACGGTTGCTTCACCTGAATCATAAATATTGCAACCAGTTATTTATCATGATGATTTATTAATATGTTGATTTGTTTCTCGAACCTGTTACCAAAAAACTTATGCATACACTTTAGTGATAATTCGTTTATTAATTGGGTATTAAAGATTTGACTACCGACCTCATTCAGTAATCACTATTATCAAATATTCAAACCGGTTTTCAGTTGCTTTTTTCCAAAAACTTTCTTTTTATGTGATATATATAAGTACTTGTGACATTAAAATTGTTGATCGGAAATCAAAAATTTATCCCAATACGCATTCAGTGACAGTAGGATTGCACTTAAGTTGGTGTTTTCTTCTTAAAATGTCTAAATTTCTTACAAGACTAAGATTACACAAAAAGATTTATTCATTATCGTTAAATTTCAAATTCAAAAATCAAAATTCTGACATCCAATCACAGCTCAAGATGCGATTTCGATTTCAACTAATCAGATTACAAAGATGAACAGTTTACGACCAATTACAAAATTATCAAAGGTAACAAAATGTTGGTTTTAATTATTCCCACGGCAATTTTTTTTCACCCCCCACCCTTAAAAAAAATTTTTTTCAACCCCAAAATTACAATATTTTTCATCCCGTTTCGTCCAATGAAATGGCTAGTTTTAAAATTCGTTTTAATTGGTTAGTTATGTCTTGTCAAATTGTTATAAAAAATCAGTACTTGTCGATGAAGTACATTTAAATCATCATTATGGAAGAAAGTAACGTGCCGAGTACAAGCGCTGTTGTTTCTCGCGTAACAGAAATAGAGGAAGTTTTTTTGACAACCTTGTTTCTTGTTGCGTTCCCATCGATTGAAGCGTTGAACTCCGCTATCACAAATTATGAAAGATCGACTTACTGTCATTATGTAGTTCGAGATTCGCATTTGTACGTCTGATCGTTACCTTTTTTAATTAACATACCATGTGTTAAGAAAAAACTTATGGACACACTGGTGATAATTTGTTTATTAATTGGGTATTAGACATTTGACTACCTTTCTACTTCAGTAATCACTATTATCAAATATTCAAACCGGTTCTCAATTCTTTTTTCCAAAGCTTTCTTTTAATGAGATACATTTAATTAATCATTTCAAGATAACTAACGACTTCAATTCAAGGTCTACTTGATCGGAAAACAAAAATTTATCCCAATACACATTGACTAACAGTTGTATTGCACGGTAGTGAAATTGAGTTAGTGTATTTTTCTTCGAAAGTCTAAATTTTTTTCAAGACTAAGATTACACAAAAAGAATTATTCATTATCATTAAATTTCAAATGTAAAAATGCAAATTATGACATCCAATCAAAGCACTTGATGCTATTTCGATTTCAACTAATCAGATTGCAAAGATGAACAGTTTACAACCAATTACAAAATTAATATCAGATGGGTTTTGTGGATATTATAGTAATTTCAGTGGTTAAGATCATGAGTCAGTTGAAGCTAATCCTGGGTTCCAATCTCGCAGGAAGTGAGGTCGTGGATGCGCACTGCTGAGGAGTCCCACAATGGGACGAAACGGCTGTCCAGTGCTTTCACGTTTTCCATGATGGTCTAGCTTTAACTGACTCATGATCTTAACCATTGAAGTTACAAAATTATTAAAGGTGACAAAATTTTTATTCATTATCACTTCAGTACACACCCGCAATACAAGTACACCAATCACCGATCACTAAATTTTTCTTTCCCACCCTACAATTTCGAAAATATGGGTGGTAGGAAATCATAATAGCCGTGCATTTAATGTCAATCTTCCTCGAGTTCACCCGTTGTCCGTCGTCACAACTTCAGTTTTACGAAACCTATCTAAAGTGTTGGAAGTAGTCATTATCTAATAGTTAGAGGAAATTAACAAGAAACTAACCCTTTGACCACTTAACATCAAACCAAAGTTCGCAATGGTATCGAGCCCACTAAAACTATTTTCCAAGTTGCACAATGGTCTGAAAAATTCTATTAACACTAAGAGACACTCACTATATCATTGGTTGTCATTGGATAATCAGTCAGTGAGATTTAAAGTTCATAACTTCCAATAGATTTTTTATGAAATAAAACAAATGTGAACAAATAAGCATTTCTATTCAAATAATCATATAAATAAGTATATGATTTTCATTTCTTTATTCATTAGTTAACTGTTCTCATTTTTTCTATTCCAAATTAATTGATTATTCAACCTAGCCATATCTATTTGGATTCAGTATTTTTATGCTTCTATGTATTCTTGTCACTTTTGGACATGGATTTTGTCTATTGTTTGATAAACTACTGAAATATAAAACTTCACGATTAAAATTTATTGGAAGTTTACAAAATTGTGATGAGAGAAAGGAGAATAGTAATAACCATGATTTAAATAATGAATCAAGAAATCAGGTGTCTAGTTCCTCTTTAAATCGAATGATGAATCAAAATCTATCTGTGAGAAATATATCAAAACTAGATCAACATACAAGTTCCTCAAATGTGAAAACTCGTGTTCATTTTAATGAAATAAAACCAAAATACAAATGCGTAATAGGTGATCACGTCAGAATGCCACTAAATGAGGCTGATCAAAATCATCATGATATTATTAATTTAACTCGAATAAACAAGGATCAGTGTTTATTGATACACAATGAAGTTAAATCGAAAAAACAGTAAGTTGGAAGTAAATATTCTGATTATTATTTAACCTGTCAAAAATAACACTTTGTTTATAATGCGATCGTGACTAAAATCTTATTGTAATCACCTACGAATTGATTACTCATGAAGCTAAGCACAATGTCTTTCTTCACATCGGGGTTCATATCAGTAGTATGTGATGCTAATCGTAAATGTCGATACACAACTAGGTGACTATTGTCTATTGAATTCAAGAATTATTTTACGTTTATCTTATCGGAAAATTATTGTTTGTTATTTAAGCATTTAATAGTTTATGTTTAAAGTTGATGACAGTGAGAATGGATTAAGAATATCAGGATTCACCAGTTTTAATTGTAGTGAACCGAAAGCTATAGAGAATGTATCTGTGTAGATATTTATTGCTTATGGGACAATAGTTCTATTATCTCTATTGTGCGTGTGTCACTCCCTTTTGTATCAAGTTCAGAAGTTGAGAATTCTACAGATTTTATTCTCTACTGCTATTCTAAACTGAGAGTTCTCAGGATAACGACCAGTCAGTTAATACCCAATGTATTTAACTGTAAGACAATTACATATAGAAAGCATAGGTCATAGTCAAAACACTTGATCAGTTAACAGTTCGGACATATATGATTATCAGTATTCCCATTGTCAACATTGAGAACATAAAATACTGAATCAGATTAGTATCTCGTGCAAAAAATTTTGGTCGGGTTGACTTTTCTAAACTCAGTGGCTTAACTAGGAACTATTGGTTGCTGTTCCAGACAACATCATCAGCACTTGCCTCATTTGGAAATGAACTATTTAATCACTTCAGTGGCTCTAAGTCAACCCACTACGATAAACAAGCTTGTGGATGGATCTCTTCAAAAGTTTCGTTACCTACGTCTGTCTCGTTTGGTTTGCTTTTAGAAAGGTGATTGATTTACCTTATCCTTACAGAATGATGAACAGGGTCCACTTGTACATGCTTATTGATTGAGGTTAACCTAAATGTCATGATTTCAGAAGTTCTCTGACATTCTTTAAATTTTATCCATTCAAACTCATGTATACGGTTTTTTACATGCATTGATGTGATGGATGACATTTCATTTCATGTAACTGTTATTCATGTGTGCGTAACAAACGAAGCGTCAACTATGCCTTATGCTGTGTTTTTGGTAATTAGTGTAATTTATTTTGTAGATGATAATGAATTTGTCCTCTTTCGCTGTTATATCTTTTGGTCAGCATCAAGTTCAATAAAGTGTTCGCTAAGAGATATAATTAGAGATTAAAAATATTTCTGCGTTTCCTCGATATGCTTCTATAATAAGATAACAAGACTGGAACTTAATTTTAAACTACCACTAAATTAGATACTCGTTCGATATATTATACAAAAACCCGAACCACATTATACCATGTACATGATTCCCGACCAAAGTGAAGAACTAGAATACATATAAGACATTACATTAGTTAACACAATTATTAGCAGTCCTCACTTAGTCCGGAATATAAAACAGTAATGGGAAATAAATCCTAAAGTAAATATTCAGTAAGATATATATGTCAGTTCACGGTGGGTGGACAATCCCATTTACTTTCACTAGCCACAAATCACTAAACTAGTAATCTAGTTTCCGGTTTTAACTTGAATTGCAAAGTTAGGTACTTGATTAAAAAATAAATTTTTGAAGATCTAGTGAGTGCTCGTCATTTGTGAGTTTCTGTTATGTCTGCGGTGATGAATTTAACTCCTGTTCGGTTGGGTTCTCTAGCTGATACCAGTCCATGATAAAACATTTCATAAACTTATCTAGCCTCTTGAAGACTGCCCAATTAAACTCGAGGAAAATCATATATTTGTCTTATTCAGAAATTTAAATGGTGCTTAAATGAAATTTCAACTAAAGATTTCATAATCTTTCTTATATCTATTATGAATTCATTATAAAATTGTTAACATTACTACTAATATTAATATTATCTGCCTTAACTTAGTTTATATCTCCAACCGATGCCAACGTTATTCATTAAAAAACCAAATTATTCAAATGAATTGGACGAAATACCTGAAAATGACAACCTTTATTTAAATGATAATTCCTACTTATCAAATGAGACTAAAGCTTCAATAAAATCCTCGTCATTTAGACAAAAAGTTAATGTTAATGATGATAATTGTGGAGGATATGATAATGATGATGATGATGATGATGATGATGATGATGATGATGATGATGATGATGATGATGATGATGATGATGATGTTAATGGTGACGATAATGATAATAATGAAGGTAAATTATTATCACCTTCCGCAAACAATCCATCTTTATCACAAACAAGTTCAAAATATCAACAGAATACGGAACATACTAACGCTTTATCAACATTTGCCATGACATCTTATTTAAACACACATCATAATCACAAAATATGTACTAAACATATGCTTCGAGCTCACAAAAGAAATTCATCTTTTTTTAAACGATTATATAAATGTGGTTAGATTATGAGACATCCAACAAGACAATATGACACAAATAAATCTATACTGAAACCAAGTATACATTTACCTTTAATTTGTAGATATAATTCATCTTATTTGTCAGTTTGTTCATCAGCTACAACAAATTCCAGCAGTCATAAGTCCGAAACTATTTCACAACTATCAGAAAATAAGAAAAATTATTCTGATTGAAAATCATGTCGACAATCAGTCAGCTTATATTGCTTCGCATTTATGGCGTAGTAATAATACTGATAGCGCTAGTGAGGTTTGGATGGAATATGTCAACTTTTTCAATCATTCTCTGATTTACTACTTGTAATATAAAATCTCTTCATTTCTATATCAAGAATATGTTAAATAAATTTGATTTGATCTCGTTTTAAAAAAATAACTATATAGTTATATTGATATTACTTTTATTGAAAATTTCATCTATGCTGGGTTTGTGACGAAATTTTGATTTTCTTGGTTTCATTTATTTTTAAAACTTAGATTCAATAAACAGAGCTTTACAGTAATGAAAGTATATAAATATCTATAAACTAAGCCTCTATTGTTCAATATTATAGCTTAAATTAGTTATGTGACTGCTGATATAAAACACTATCAAGTAATAGTGACTATACTCGTTAGGAGGTTAGTCAGTGATCTCATACACTATTTTATTCACACTAGTTTCTGTAGTCATACTTCAATAACTTCTATACAATGATTGAGATTAGCATTTAACCGTACTAATCTAAATGAGAATACGTGACACGACGAAATGGAATCCAGATTTAAAGGAACTAAAAGTTCATTAAAAAAGGTGGAAATATTTTCAGCTTTTACGACATTCTAGTAAACAGTGAACGACTTTAATAAATAGTATATAATAATATACATCAGATAGATTGTTTTCAGTTACAGGTATTTTCATCAACAGAATGACAAGATTATTGGTTAGCTGGTGATTATTTGCTAGGGTATTATAAACATTACTAACTTTAGAATTCGATAGTGGATGTCCCATGCCATGCAGTAAAGAACTTAAGCTATGGAATATTGTTTTTGTAGATGTTCCAAAAGTTATCTTTAACAGTGACCGAAGATAGATTTCGGTGAACCGCCGGCGTCTTTAGCAAGAAAGGGACAATTAGTACACATCTATTGAACTAATTAGTCAGTGTAAACTTATCCTTTATAATGATTTAATATGACATCCTGGTCACAGTAAGATATGCAGTTGTTCGTGATATGAAAGGTATATCACTAGTAATAATTCCATCAGTAACCAAGATCCAACGACAGTAATATTCTAGAAAATATGCACATAATCATCGAAAAATCTTTTAATACCCGACGTTTCTTAATAAGCTGTAACTGACATCCATTTTTAAGACAAACTGACTTAAATTATGTGTATTGACATCAGAAACCGATATACGTTAGATCATCATTGAGAACCTGGGTACACTGAATGGCTGTTTCGTTCTCGTAAGGGATTCCTCGACAGTGCATACCCATGATCTCGCACATGGGATTCAAACCCAAGGCCTTCGGTCCCATGCGCGATCGTTTAACCTCTAGACCATTGGTCCGAGATCCGACGGTGTATAGTTTCAACCACTCCACAATGTTGTCAAATCGTCATTCATTGACTTCGTTGATTAAATGCTTCAATTCCACTGATTGCGGCTTCTCACAATGACTCCAAGAATCACCTCTTGAAACTACTCACTAGCAAGCAAATAATAATTATCAGTTTATAGTTGTGGAGATTGTTGAATTTTTATTGAAATCATGAATTAAACAATATTCAATAACCACAAAAAAAACTACTTAATTTATCATGATGTAGTTAACGCACAAATTTGATTATCACATAATTCATATGAATAAAACTATTCCAAACTATTTTGTTTATGAATAGAGATTATTTCTTATTATGCAGAAATGATTGGAAGGTAAATACTTTTATAGTGGAAATTATAAATGAATAGAATGAAAATAACTTTCTATTAATAGTTTATACTAATTTTCTAAGATTAATTATTAATAAACAAATAAATAAATAATTTTTTTAATTGTTAATGAGAATAGTTATTGATAATCAATAATTGATTGAAACCTGTAAATAAAATCAATTTTTGGTTCCACAAATCGTATCCAAACTGATGTATACAAATTTTTAACTATGATGAATTCATTAAAATGATTCATGAAAAATATTAAATATTGTCAATAATTTATTCATTGAATAAATGAATAAGTTTTATTAATTAAAATGGTAATTATACATTTGTATTCAGTTTAGAACAATTTGGAATTGAATGAGTTGATTGTACTTTTTTAAAAGAAGATGATGATGATGATTTTAAAGAATTGAATGTATCTGATAAACTGACTGGTATTTTCCTATTTATGATAGATTTATCTTCTATTAAATATTCATTAGGTTCCATACATTCATGAGGTTGAATAAGCTTTTTAATTCTCTGTAAAGAAAAAAAATTTTTCTTATAAAAAAGAAATGTTGGATTGAATGCATTAAACATTCGGTAAGACTTCAAAAGATGCACTAGTAGTGGATAAATAGATTTAAAAGTTTGCTTCAAAAGCAGCCGTTGATATCATATTTACACTGATATTTATCATAGATGGGCAAGTAATCATTGCCTTCAGATTGAATTTATGAGCGAACACTTTGACAGCACTAATTAATTTTCCCTCATGAAAATTATTCAACAATTAATTTACATAGAATAGGGTAATGACACCAGTTATTACATTATTGTATATTCAGTTAATTCATAATGTAATTGACTGAAGTGTTTTCAGCTCTATGATACTTACCTAATAATTTAGGGCTCTAGGATCTTCGCTCTCAAACGAGGAATATAGGCCGTTCACTAGCATTCTCCATCCAACTCTGTCCGGGGCAATACTTTCCAGTTATTTCCAGTCGCGATTCCTTTTTGGTGTCTGCTTCCAATTCCCCCAAGCAACGTGTACCTTTACCTTCGACTTTTCCCCTTCTCTTCAACATTCCATGTTAGCGCTTGCCTCGTGATATAGTTCGATGTTATCCTCAATGCATGTCCTATCCACCTCCAGCATCTTTCCCAATTTCCTCTTCATTTAGAATTTGGTTTTCCTCTCTCACAGTGGGCTGTTGTTGATGGTATTCGTTCAACGGACACTCAGTTTCCTGCGTAGACAATTAGTTAGAAATATTTGCACAATTTGGTGATGGGTGTGGTAGATCTCCAAGTTTCACCTCCGTACAATCAAACAGTTTGAAGTTCGCATTGAAGATTTTCACTCTAATATTGGTTGACAGTTGTTTTGAGTTCAATGTGTTCTTCAACTGTGGAAATGCTGCCCTTGCTTTGCCAATACTCACCACTGCGTCTGCATCAGATCCTCCGCGCTTATCAACGATGCTATCCAGAAACGTGAAACTATCCATCTCTCTCAGAGTTTTTCCATCAAGTATGATTGGGTTGGTGTTCTCTGAGTTGTATTTGAGGATCTTGCTATTTCCTTTGTGTATGGTGAGACCTATTGATACAGAAGCACCTAAACTGCATTCGTTCACGTATATTGGATAGAAGGGCTAGGTTATCTGTGAAATCTAAATCGTCTAGTTGCATTCAACCTGTCTATTTTATTCCGTGCTTCCCGTCAATTGTCGAGGCCTTTACCATCCAATCAAACATTATAAGAAAGAGAGATGGGGAGAGTAGATAACCTTGTCTTTATCCGGTCCTCACATGGAGTGCGTCTATCAGCTGTCCTCCATGCACGACTTTGCAGTGTAGTCCGTCGTATGAATCCAGGATAATGTTGACGAGTTTCTCAGGTACTAAAACCATAGTCTCAAAAATTTTCCATAATGTTCAACGCTTTCTCATGATCAAAGAAGTTGATGTGTAGTCAGAAGTTCCATTCAATTGATTGTTCAACGATGATCCGTAGTGTCGCAATTCGGTCTGTGCACTACTGATCCTTACGGAATCCAGCCTATCGATCTCAAAGTTGGGCGTCTTCTGAACCTTCTATTCGGTGCAGCAACACTCTGTTGAAAACCTTTCCTGGTATTGACAGTAGTGTGATTTCTCCGTAGTTCTCACATTTGCTCAGATCTCTTTTCTTTGGTATCTTGATGAGATGTCCTTCTTTCCAATTTTTCAGTGCTTGTCCCTCCTCCCAAATCTTCCTGAATAGTGTGTAGCATGTTTGCATTTGCTTCTATGTCTGAATTCAGAGCTTCAGCTGGTAGACTGTCAGGTCCTTCTGCTTTCCCGCTCTTGATTTGTTGTGTTTGTTTCAGTATTATCACCGTTAATTTTATTTTACCATTGTGAAGATATATATTTTCTATCAACTTCTCATGAACAGTTTTGATTTTAAATTATTACAGATTATAGGCAGCTAACAAGAGTCTAATGCAATAATAGGAATTCATGTTGTTATTCAGCTCAAATGTTTGTTCTTTAAAATATTAATAAATGTTATTCATGATTTATTCGGATCAGTAATACGGAACTATTTGTATAAAGTATTTTTTTTCCGTTTAAGAACTAGACCATTTTCTTTAATAGTATTGTAAGCTTATTATTCAATTTAAGAATGTCATTAAAACCAATAGTCTAAACATTTTGTGGAGTTTATGCTCCACTAAATAGTTAGACTTATATAGAGGAATTGATTAAATTTAGTACGGATATAAATTTATGAATAAAGTATAATCGTGGATAATACACCGATTCGATAGTAAGAGATGCATCTCAATTTCTCATTGTCATCAAATGGGCAACGCTATCATTGTTCATATGTTTGCAGTTAAAAAAATCAAGTAATCTAACATTTAATTTCAACATATTTATTCTACGTAAAGAGATATAGAAGTAAGTGTAATTAGTGATTTGTCGATCTTGTTAGTTTTTATTTATCAGAAGGGGTTTTGTGGAGATTTAAGTATTTTCAAAAGTTGAAATCATGAGTCAATTGAAGTTAGAACACCACAGAAAACCTGGAAGCACTGGACGACCGTTTCGTCCTAGTATGGGACTACCCAGCAATGCGCATCCATGATTCCGCCTCATGTGAGATTCGAACCCAGGACTTGTCAGTTTCGAGCG